CCTTGTCAGTAGATTATCTCAGGTCCTTTGCTACAGGAATGGAAAGCTGACGAACATACTTGTGTTAAATGTATTCCATATCTTTTATATGAGTTACTGGGACAAACAGAACCTACTAAAGTCCTTTTAAGTTTGGCATCATGACGGATTTGTGCTGAATTACATTTACCTGCTCCATAGTGCACAAGCTGGCAAAATTCACCTATCCTGGAAAAAATCACAGGACTCTTCAATTTTTATTCTTTAATTGAAGTTAAACTATGAGGACGTATATGCCTAGCTTGCAGTATCTTAAAAAGTTGAGAAAGCAGCTAGCACAGATGAAAAGGCTGATGGAACAAAATAAAATCTCAGTATTGCTTGTTTCAGGCATTTGTCTAGAGGTTGTGTTACTCACCAACATTTTTTCCCCAGAGAAACTAGTTTGGAACTACTTGGAACCTGCTCAAGAAATAATGAAATTGATGAGTCTTAAGAGTCTTAATATTTGTTACATGATTCTTGCTATGAAAACACTTCTATCATTCTGCTCCTGAGAAAAGAGCTATAATTAGTATGTAGGCAGTGAAAGCTGAAATGCAAAGAAAATCAGAGATTCCTTAGGTTTCCTCAAAACTGATTACATTCCATTGTAGCATTTCTAAATCCAAAATCTGAGAATACATTTTTATCAAATGCTCTACACGAATGTGAAATACATTAGAAAGCAAATCTTAAGTGTGATTCTGAAAGTATTCAGAAAGCATCTCACTGCAGCAATGCATACACTGTTAGACTGAGTTTATCTTGGTTGAAACTGCATCATTGCCCTTGTCCACATTTTCAAAGACAGGAGCTGAAGAAAAAGTGTCTTGCATACGTCTGTAATCAGAGCACTCTGGGAGGTTGAGGTAGAAGGTCTGTAAATTGAAGGCCAGTCCTGGCAATTTAGTAACACAACAAGACCTTGTCTCAAAATAAAAAGTAAAAACTGGGCTGAAGGTCTAGCTCAGAGTGAAGGTTATGGGTTCAATCACAAGTACAGAAAAAATGTCTTTCCCTTCTGCAGTAGTAGTGGAGAAGAAGGAAGACTTGTCGGCAGCATTTCATCAGCAGAACCTATTCTGGCAGAGCTAAACTCCTCCCACCAACCTTGACACTGAGCATCCATTTAATGTCATGAATGTGCACCATACTGTGATTAAGAAGTCCTAATAATATCAGTCTTGTCATACTATCAAAATTTTAAAATGAGACTACTAAAATGATAAAATTTTATAGGTGCTCTTTGACTAACAAAGGAGATACGTATTGATAAACCTATCATAGGTTGAATATATGGTAAACTGAAAAGTGCTGTCAGCATGCACAATTTATAGAACACTCTAGGCCTGCAACACTGTAAAGTTATTTTCCCATCATGACCTCAGGGTGGACGGGGAGCTGCGGTCACTGCCACCTCCCAGTAACAGAAGAGGGGACTGGGCCACACATCACTGGCCCAGAAAAACATCCACATCCAAGATTCCAAGTATAGTTTCTACTGAATGTGTGTGTATTGCTTTTTGCCACTATAAAGCCAAAATTTAATAAATTGAAATGTGGTAAGTTCATCAGTGTCTGTGATGACAATTATAATTAATAGTTTAGATTAATTTTATATTCCATTTGGCGATATTCTATGTTGATGATATAGAGTTTTCCCATGGTTTTGGTTAAATAATAATTTTTAACATGGGTCTTGCTATATTTCTTCCAAATGTGTAGCTAGTATCTCTGTCCCTCTACTTAACAGGGCTAATGTATTAAATCATAGAAATGAGCACTCATTCCTCAAGGCAAGGAGGTAAATTTGTCATTATTTGTAGATGGCATGAACATAATATTAGTATGAGCATCAACTGATGCATTCTTAGAGATAATGACAGTTCATTGGCAAACTAAAACTTTAGCAGTTTAGGATTTTAAAAAGATTTACGTAATTAGAAAGACATAAAATTGAGTAGTGAGACCAATTAGCATTGTAAAATGTATATATGTCTTAGTTAATTTGTAGATGCAATAAAGTCCCAGTCAGAGTTACAATGGAATTTCTTTTGAAGTTTTAGAAAAAAATGTCCAAGGATCATCTAGAAGAGGGAGTGGATACAAATGGTAAAAAAATTTTCAAATTAAAATGATGGGAAAAATTATTCTTTTATGTATAAGCTATGTTATAAAGTAGCATTTAGTGAAATCCTGTGATTTTACTAAAAAAATGTAGATCTGAAATGAATGGAGTCAGAAACATATATGAATTGTGTAGAGAATAGGTAGAATTTATTGCAAATACTATAAGGGAAATTTATTCTTTGTGGAGAAATAATCAAGCACCTCTTTCATCTTTCATTACCTGAATTATTGTATAATAAGAGCTTATACTACTGTTTGGTATATGAGCACTTATTCTATAAGCAAAGTACAAAAGATATCGAGGTAATCTTTTTTTGGTACCAAGAATCGAACTCAGGACCTTGCTTTTACCAGGTAGGCGCTGTGCCACTGAGCTACATCCCCAGCCTCTCAAGATAAATTTTTAAACAAGATAAAAATATTACACCATTAATAACAAAGAAAACACCAGTGAATATTTAACTAATTTGGGCATTTTTAGTACAGAAAAATAAAGACTGACATATTTAGCTATTTGTCCCACACCAGAAACAAATTACAAGTAAACAGTCAATTGGGTAAAATATTTTAGTAACTATGGCAGACAAATAGATAAAAAGCATATATACAAATCAATAGCAAAACCAGTATTATCTCTTGGTAAATAACATTAACAGACAGGCATGAGAAAAGAAATATCAGAAGGTTGTGATAGGTTTATGGAAATAATCTTACTCAAGTCATACTAATTTTAAAAATTGGAAGACTTGGAATAACCACTACATTTTACAATACTGGTACCTTTTTAAAATCAAAGTGCAAGTGCTCCTGACCAAAGAAAGTTCATTAAAAATCAGTAAGCTTGCTGCCTTCTGCATACCATCAGTTCTGCTCTCCAAATTTGCTGCTTCTCCTGTTTATCTTCCCTCCTCTGAGTGATTAAATTGCTTAAATTACTTTTCTACTTAATCAATTTTCTACCTCAGGCTGTGCAGTAACAAATGAAACATCAGCTCTCATAACACACCCTTCTCTTTCCCGTCCTCCCCGGTAACGATATCACCTTAAATCATTTCATTATTGGGACCATATAAATAAGGCCCAGTAATGTTTTTATGATTATATGTCTTTTATGGCTTTTTGTCCCTTGTTTTTCTGGAATGTCTTATTGCTTTTGCTGTTTTATAGCACTAATTGCTTTTATTATACTTGGAAAAAAAACCTCTTTATCATATCAGGCAAGCTAGCAACTCCTCTCCTGGACTTAGACCACTGTTCCATAATCCTAGATCTCCTTTCTGGGTTGGTTGCTCTGCAAAGATTTGTTGAAATGATTGTATAGAGAAGAAGGGTGTGGTGAGACATTAAGCTCTGCAGGTGGAGTGTGAATCATTACAGCCCTTCTACAAAGCGAGCTGCCATTATGTGGAAAAAGCTATAAACATTCAAAGACTTTGACCTTATGTGCTACTTGCAAAAATTTATTGGGAAAAATAACCAGAGTTATTTTTAAGATCCAGATGTACTGTGGTGATGTTTTTGTGAATAAGGGTAAGCAACTTGTGCATTGTTATAGTTAGGAGTTGTTAGGAGATTATGAAGTATGGAAGGTTCTTGACTCATGGGAGGTCAATTTCATGATTTTTGACTTTATGATGGTACAAAAGCAATAGGCAATCAGCAGAAACCGTACTTGGAATTTTTCATTTGAATCTTTTCCTGGAATAATGATACTCAGTCTGATCTCCTCTTGACATGGTGCGCAGCGTCTAGCTGCAACGCACAGGACAGCCATGTGAGCTTGAAGACAATTAACTAACCCTGCAGCATACTATGTTCAACTAATACAGGAGATACAAAGACTTCATTGCACACTTCTTGGTGTTTGATGATATTGCTGAACTGCAGGCTAATGGAAGTGTTCTAAGCAAGTCAAAGGTAGACTGGGTTATTCTATGATGTAGAATAAATTGGGCATATTAAGTGCTTTTTTAACTTACAATATTTTCAACTTAGGGTGAGCCTATCAGTATGTAACTCCATTATAAATCAAGGAGCAGCTATACTCTGGACTCACTAAAAGTAGAGCATTTTTTTCAGTACTAGCAATTGAAACCATGGGCACTGTACCACTGAGCTGCATTCCCTGCCCTTTTTAATTTTACATGGAGGCAAAGTCTGGCTAATTTGCCCAAGCTGGTCTTGAACTCACTTTCTTACCTCAGCCTCTTGAGTAGCTGAGGTACAGCACTTTCTGAAATCTACTTTTGGGAGACAACTCAGAGAGAGGAAGCTATTTTTTTTTCAAACAGCTAAAAGTGAGACATAATAAGAGAAGCACACGACCATCAGGCATCTGAGTCCTGTTACGTACATGGAGAAGACTTGGACAGACTAAATAAAGTTTGCTTTCATTGGCAAATAGAAAGATACAGGTTCCACGTTGCAACATCTCAAGGGTTGAACCTCCTACCCTTGCCTGGCTGCTCACGCTGGCTACCCTAGGTAGCATGCAATGGCCCACCTGGGTCACAGGGGCTTTAGTTTAAATGTAATGATGTTAGTGATGGTCATGAACAATGAGAGAGAGGACAGCTACCAATGCACGGGTATCGAGAGGTAGGCGGAACCTGAAACTGATGAGGTGGGGAAGAGATGCTGAAAGTTCACACGGGGGCCACAGGATGGTTGCCTAGGGCTGGGTGACGAGCGAAGTGTGTGTGGGGAAGGAATAGACTCGCCTTGAATTGCACAGGGGGTTATGTCATCAGGGGAAATCCAGGGGAGGGTGTACTTGAAAACAAGGTTCTCTGCAAGCCTCTGGGCAGCAAAGCCAGGCTTCCAGAGGGTGTAATGAACAGAGCTAAGGAGGGGTCCAAAAGGGAAGGATGTGCCACTGAATGTTCACAATGAAACACAGAGCTATGACAAAGGTGAGCCACCTCAATGTGCCCTTAGGGAGCCACAGGATGAGACATTCAGGGATTTGAAGTGGAGAGAGGAAGGATACAGAACCGATGGGCAGGAACTGGCAGCTCCAGGATTTCAACTGAAACTTCAGGATGAACTTAGGAAAATGCCTCCACAGACCATTGTTCCAACTGCCATGGGTCCACCTAATTGCCTCAGGCCTGTAAGTATGCTTAAGGTGATTTCATGCACAAATAATGTTGGGGAAAACCCTATGGCTAGGTAATTTAGCTGGGCTTGGTAGATAAGTTGAATGAATGCTTTGTAAGAGAACCAAGTGGTAGGGAATGTGGGTTTAGGATCATCGATTAAAGTAAAAGCGGAGTGAGAGGAGGCTTCTGGGTACATCAATAAAAGTCTGAACATCTGACAGTAGCTGAAGATGCCTGGGTTTGGAGTGTACCCAGAAAGAACAAGTGGCTGGTGTGGGAACGTGTTGAGACTGTGTGAAATCCTGGTGGAGTTTTGGTTCAGGGTGGACCAAGGTATGGATCTGGCTCCCAAGCCAATGGATCTCATTCCTTTGCTAAGACAAAAATCTGCCAGAAATGATTTATATTTTGGGCTAAAGTAAGGGATTAGAGTAAATTAGTGGAAGAGAACAACAGAGAGAGAGGGAGAGATACAGGGAGAGGGAGAGGGAGAGGGAGAAGGAGAAGGAGAGGGAGAGAATGTGTTCAAATAGACACACAAAGTTTGATTTCAGCAAGGCACCTGGCAGTCTTTACCTCTTCAACTTCTCCCAATGTTTATTTCTAACCTAGAGCATAAGTCAGCATAGGTGGGGTTGTGGGAAGTGAATACGTTTACAGGCACTAGCTTATTTGTGGGTAATTATGAATCAGTGTTCACGATCCTTTTTAATGTAGAAGATATAACTGAAAAGATAGCCTCACATCTTATATTTATTTATATGTTTAATATTGCCTTGGTCCCACCTTTGAGAAGTGGTTCATACAGATAACAGAGAATGGCCTGCATATGCTGCAAAGATATCTCAGGGAGATTCACTCTTCAGCCACTCTGTGACCTCATTCTAGATGCCTAAGTAGGTACTACACTTGAATTTCTGGTTCAGAAGTGTACCATTTTTGATAAACCCAGGAGACATTTCAACCAGTCTCCAAAAATAATCCCACTCTTAACAAATCCAATAGACACACATCTACCAAAAACAGGGAAAATAATGCTTGTGATGAATTATCCCCCAAAGAATCTGTTCCAAATGGTGTACAGATGCAAATTATGGACCAAGAACATGATCTGGTCATTGCCTTTGTCTTCTTCAGAGATCTGGGCACTCACAGAGCAGCCTCCTCTTTCACCACTGGATGTTGTCCAGCCTGCCCCCAGGTCTGCAGAGAGACTTCTATCTTCCCAGCACTCTTGTCTTGACTTCCATTATCAGTTCTCATGAAAAACCTGTCACCACCATAAATCAACTTGAACGTTATTGATACTTGGCCCAAAGTTACACAAACATGATGCACTATTGGAAGAGAGAGTTAAAAGGATGATTCAGGACATCTTTCATGAAGGTTGCATGCTCCTCATGTTTCTCTGCTGTATGTTTTCCTTTTCTAAGCAACTCTTTAATTTCAATAATTTTCTCTATCCTTTCCAAGTCCTTGTTCAAGAAGAGAAAGAAATATGTTTCTTGGAAATTGTCTTTGTGAACTGACTTTTGCATTTTAAGTGATAGTTCTGTTCTCTTGATTTCAGAGATTGGGAAAGAGAGGGATGATACAGTTCTCACTGTACCTAGTCTTGAGTTTGAGCTAATGAATTGCTTTTGTTTTTAACTATATTGAAATGTTCAATGTTATTTCCATTAAGAAACAAAATGTCATTCTACCAATATAATCCATGTAACTGTTTTTCCTTGTTAGACTCAGGGGTTCTAATCAGTGAGGAGTGAAGAGTATTTCCTAACAATTAATTTGTATGTCAGCTCTGACCGTATTGCTAGTAGTCTCATCTTTCCTGTGACTAGGTGTTTGCTCATCAGGATTCCACTGGCTTGACAGAAGAAATGCAGGAATGCAGTTAGGAGCAGGGTCTTGTGATTGAAAGCTTAGAGTTCAGAGTGAAAACAGCTGTGCTTGAACCCATAACACATAAACGTGAAAACATTTTTCCACCTCTCTGAGCTTCTGGATCTGTAGGTGACCTGAGAAGGTGTGAAGAAGTACGTTTCAGCTAATGGTCCTAAAGGCCATAAATAACAACACGTCCAGGAATTATGAAAATAGACTGTGCTAGAGTTCTGTCACTGCGCAAAAATACATGAGGTAATCAACTCTTAAAGAGGAAAGACTTATGTCACAGTTTCTGTCCCTGGTCAGCTGCCACTATTGCTTCTGCGCTTGTCAGAAGCAGCATATGAAGGCAGAAAGCGTATAGTGGAGCAACAAAACCTCATCTCGTGGTGGCCAGGAAATGAAAGAGAGAGGGAGAGAGAGAGAGAGAGAGAGAGAGAGAGAGAGAGAGAGAACAGAGAGACAGAGACAGAGGCAGTGACAGTTAGAGACAAGGACAGAGACAGAGATAGAGACAGAGGCAGAGACAGAGATGGGATACGACCATCACTTCCAAGAGCATGACCCAAATGATCTAATTATCTTTCACAAAGGCCACTTGCTAAAGGTTTCCCCACCTTCCAGTAGACCCATCTGGAGGGGACCAAGCCTTTGACATACCACTTTTTGGTGGACATTCCAGATTCCACTTATAACACTTCTACAAAGGGGACATTATTCGAGTTTCTTGTTAACTCCAGTAAGGGAGAGAATGAAGACAGGGTGTTCTAGATGGAAGATACTGGAATGGAAGATACTGTTAAAGATGGAAGCTGGGAGAACTAGGAAAGGTCAGAGTAGAGGGGGAGGAGATGAAGAAAGGAAAAGGTGACTGGGAGAGTGTCATCTGCCCACATGTTCATATGTATTATTAAGAGCATCTTTTAGCTAGAATTTCATATTCTTAGTGCTTGATTTCTTAACGGGGAATTTCCTTTATCAGTCTCAACTCTTCTGTTGTCTCTAATTCTTAAAGAGACAAGTCCAACACATAGAAAACAATGGGGAATAAAAGGCTGTCCCACTTACCCTGATTATCAGTGCAGGAGACTTGTAGAATCAGAGACGACTATGGGCCGGAGCATGGCAGGCTGTAAGGAAGAAGTTGGATTTGGAGGTAGCGGCTTAGATGCCCACAGACAACAGTGTATTGGCATTAGAGGTCCCAGGTTTCTGACAGGCAGGTTGTGGGATGCCAAGTAAAGTTTTTGACATGGAGTAATTTCTGAATTTGGTGAGCAAATGAAAATAACTTACAATTATGGGCTGGTCTATGTCTGCAAATTCGTGTGTTGAAGCAGTAACCCGAACTATCTCAGACCGTGACTGTATTTGACATAGGATTTTAATGACGTGATTAGGTAAAACAGGGTTACTAGGTTGGGACCTAACCTAGTGACTGGTGTCTTTTTAAGAAGGGGAGATTAGGACACAGAGAGACAGGCACCAGACATGCGAATCCACAGAGAGATGCTCAGTGGAAGACAAAGCCGATGGTGGCCATCAGCAAGCTGAGGAAAGGACAGACTTCAAAAACAGACAGAACCCTGCTGGCACTTTGACCTCGGACCTCTGTAGTTTCTAGGACTCTGAGAAGTACAATTCTGTTGTATTTTCTGCCCACTCTGTAGGACTTTGCTACGGCAACCCTAACAGTGATGTCTCTGTTATATTTGTTGTCTATTCCCATGGTAGCAACTCATTCATTTTTTTTCTTTAAAAGCCCTATATGACTAAGTTGGGGGAATAGAGTGAATACAATTGGACACACAGACTACCTCAGTAGACTGGGAGCAGAAATAAAAGTGTGCATGAAAACTGAGTTGAGATGGTGCAAAGCCATCAGAAAACAAGGCTGAAGGAACCCTCCTCTTCTTTTCCAGTGACTCAGATGCTGTCATTACCTGACAGGCTGTTTTTTACCTGGAGAATTTTCTAGTATTTCAAGAGGATGCAGCAACCTAAGGAATTGCATTAGTTCATTGCTTCAGATATAGGGCAAGAAGGTGAGGCTGACAAGATGACACAGAGAAGCTGGAATTTGGGTGTTGGTTAGAGAAACAAGGCGTTCATAAGGAGAGCCTAGGGAAGGGGGAAACAGCCTTGTGCCTGATCCTCACATCTTCACACATGCAAAACTAAGACCCAAACAAACATGAAGGGAGAAAAGAGATCTAATAGCTATTGATTCATACTCTATTGGGAATGTGTGTTAAAGATATCCTTGAAAGGGAAAAGAAGTAGAGGATCTGCATGAGTACTCATGAAAGACACAGCCCCACCTTCTAACAGTCGCGCAGTCCACGGATGAACCATGACCATTACATTGTGCGGACACAGTGGTGCTGTAAATGCTAAGTTAGGGACACATGGTGTTTGTTGGGCAAACAAGGAGAGATGCTCTACCTGGTGCTGGGAGGAAGCCAGCCTTCAAAAGAGGCCTCCCCTGCAAGGGCAGTGCCCAAGCTAAGTAGAAAGTAAGAGGGAGTCAAGTAGAGTGCTGGGGAGAAGTACACTTCAGACACATGGAAATGTGGGAGATAGGAGAGCATGGCTCATTCGTGAAGTACAAGTAGGGTCTTATAGTGGGAGGAGAGAACACTACGTCTAAAACTTGGTCTTTTCTCCTTAGTGCAGAAGGACCCACAGTGCTTCTCTCAGAACTTACCAATGCCTCTGTTTTAACAATGCAAATTAACATATATATACTATGCGTCATCTAGATAATATGCAAATATTCAAGAACAATTGCAATAAACATAATTTAGAACAGCATATTCAGCTATAATTGTTTCCTTAAAGAGCTGTGTTCAAATATTTCCAAGAGATGCAGCGATAATTGTAGGCAGGACCATATTTTCTAAGTTACTGTTTACTAGCAAATTCCCGGTAGCTCAGAGATATGCAAATTTCAGGGGCCCCAGCTGACATCCAGATTCATCTGCTCATGGTAGCTCTTTACTGGACTCCTATGGTTCAAGTGACATTCTTATGCTGTCCTCAATTTCAATCACAAGTGCGCTTACCATCAGGTCTTCTGGGAAATTGGAACGATGAAGAAAGTCTTTCAGTATGAAAAACAGAACCAAAAGGAATCATTCACTTACGTGTGACTTGGCCACACAACAGGATGGAGGCCTCTGTTAAGAAATACCCTTAAGGGGTGGGGGTGTGGTGCTAAATAGAAAGTGGATTTTTTTCCTTAAGTGTGTGTTTTACTTGGACTCCACTTCATCTGGATGGAATTTCATCTGTTACCTTCACTGTTATTATTACACACACACACACACACACACCAGCTCTTTGGAGCATTTATTTGGTGCATTTTCACTGTGACTAAATGATCCCTTTTGTGAATTATTAATATGTACATTACACACCTAAAGACTTGTCAGGCCAGCTGAAATTAGTGTTTGAGATGTAACTAATTCTCACGCATTTCATGTCTATCTATCTATCTATCTATCTATCTATCTATCTATGTATACTACTGTCTTGGTTACAATATACCTGATGCCCAAAATTAAGGAAGGAAAGGTTTATTTTGCTTACAGTTCGTGGAGGTTTCAGTCCATACTTGGCAGGTTATAAGGCAGAGTGGCACATGGCAGAGGGCTACAGCTCATCGCGGCAGAACACAGCAAAAGCAACAAGCACACACACAAGGGAGGAAAAATGGCCAGAAGCACAAAAGCCAGGAAATGGCCCCAAGCAGCCTCTTGCTCTCCCTTACATGTGCAAACTATCCACCCCAAGGGCGGGTGCAGCTCTCACACCCATAATCAATCAAACTCTAAAAGCGTGCCCCATGACCGCATGAGGCTTTGGGGGGGACACCCAGACACAAACCATAACTACTACTACTGAAGGCGCACTAGGTAATAAGTAACTTAAAACCTTTTCAGTAAAATGTTCTTTAGTTTTTCAGGAGGAACAATGGAGAGGTACTAAGTGCAAGAGTAAAGTTGGTTGTATGCTAGGACAGAATCCTGTGATTAAATATATATATATATATATATATATATATACACACACACACACACACATATATATATATATATATATACATATATATATATATATTTACTATATTATGGGAGAACCTCAGTAAAAGGAGATAGCTCCCTGATAGAAATAATTTATTTTTAAAATGTTTATTTCATCACAACCTAAATTCTTACTTGTATTTCTCCCTCAACTATGATATAAAAATATAAGAGGGACTGTACTGGTTACAACTCTGTCACCACTTCAGAGGGCCGCCCCTTCCCTAACAGGCTCTCCACGAACATCACATCATGAATGGGAATCATCTACACATCCACTCTGGGTCAGGTGCTCTCCAATCCTTATCTCACTTGACTTTCATCAGAATGGGTCTCTCAGGGGCCCCTGTGAAAACCGAAGCTCAGAAATGTTAATGGTCCAAGGACAAATAGCTAGTGTCTCCAAATAGCACTGGCTCTCCACCCAGGCCTTCTAACTCTCAAAAACGTTTCCTTATTTACCTTGGAATAGTTCTGGTTCTTTAGTGGGAGGACTGGGCCCTGGCTGTTGGAAACCTTGTTGAATTCTTTCTGCTTTCTCCTAATCCTTATCCCCCAAAGATATCCAATAGGAACTTTACAAATTACTAGTGGATCTCCTTCCAGATCTCAGTGTTTAACGGTATACCAAGACATCACATAGTCTCAAAAAGCTCTATCCCAACAGCACCTGCAATGGTACCGGAGGCGGGGTGGGGAAGACTCCTGCTTATGTGGGTCTCTAGTGTGGCGGTTTGTGTGGGTGGCCCTGTTCCCTCCCCACCTTCAGTGCAGGCTTCCTCCTGTCACAGGGCGGCCAAAAAGCTCTGTCCTGATGAGTCATCCTTGGCTCAGAAGCCTCTCCTGACTCAGGAGGCCGGAGCGGCATGGTAGAGCCTTGGAACGAGCTCTTGAAGGGAGAGACTTGGCCTGGCTTCACATATTTCTATTGTTATAAAACCCTGATTAAAATAGATATCTTTTGCTTGACACAGTAGATCTGCAGCACTTTTCTTTTCCTTCTACTATAACCAAAATTCACTTTTCTTCCAAACTTTGGATTTTACCATGAAAGTGATAACCTATTTTATATATTTATATGCTATTGATAGCATACTTAGTGCAATATTTGTGATATATTTGGTATATATATTTCATAAATATTAAATTTCTGACTTCATAATGCAATCTACGGCACATGGTTTCAGGTTAGGTTAAATGAATGTTATTTTGGGGAACTATATAGCATTAGCATTAATAAATAGTATTAAGGCTATGCATTGAACCTGATTTCCCTTCTTAATTGGCTATTTGGACCACAGAGTAAGGACTTAAAGTCAGAAGGGCTTGGCTTGTGTGTGTATGTGTGCATGGCTTCACAGGTATGTGGAAACAGGAGAAAAGTAAGAGTCCTAATCCATGCATTTTATTATTTACACAAAAATGCTGATAGTTTCAGGGTAATTTGTAGGAAAGAGCATATTTCTCCAGCTGGTTTTCTTTCTCACAGGGAAAAGAAAAGAGAACTACTTGAGTATTTGTACAGGAGCGAGCTGAGAACTTTAGGTATGTTGTGAATTTGGTTTGTATTTGAATATGTTTCAGTGAATACTTTTGAACAGTATGCTACTTGCAGAAGCTGAGATGACAAAGATGAATAACGCGCATTCCTTCGCACTAAGGAATTTACAGTCTAAGGTGAGGCAGGTGAACAACTGGTGGTCATAACCTGGTGTAACAAGCGTCATGCAAGAAGCCTCACAGAATCCTTGTGAAGGACGACCTAGGAGAGGTGCCTCTGTTTTTCCTCTGCCAAAGGGCGGTAAGGCTTAGTACAAGCAGCCAGACCAGCTTCATAAGTATGTAGGGCCCTGGAGGGGTTTTAGGGAGACTTCCCCAAAGAGGTGACACCACCTTGGGTCTTCAAACATCCAGGCAAAAGTGTGGGGATAACATCACTGCCTGCAGAGGTAAAAACATGCAGGAGGTCCTGGAGCTACAGAGCAGGACATGTTCAAGGATTCTGCTTCCATGCCTAGGGCGGGAGGCAAGCGCGCTTTCCAGGGTTCAGGTGCACTTGGGTAGCTGTGGGAAATGAATGAAGGAGTCAAAATGGGGGGGAGAAAATCACTTTTGCATTTTATTATTATAAATCTGTCAGAATTTTGCCCATAGCCAAATGATCATTTTTTTTTTTTCGTTTGGACTTTTGATTATTTAGAGGAAGGAATGAGGGACAAGGACTATGCATGAAAAGGACCCTCCTATGATCTTTTGCTTATCTGGCAGGCTGTTGGTCTCCTTGTCGTCCCGGGAAAACTTGTATTCCACTACAGAGTAAGGTAGAAAGTTAGCTGACTTAAGGGGATTATGCAGAAAGGGAGGCTGGATGCAGGAACAAGTTACGGGGTTGTCTGAGTGAATCAGCTTGTGGCAACAGCTCCAGCGTTAGAGCTGATGAGGAGGGAAGCAAGGGTGGAAGACGTAGCTTACCTTCTCTGCCTTGGATAAGTGTAAGGATGGTGGCAAAAACAATAATTAGCGTGTTCCGAGCACCAACTGTTTGCCAGTGTCTCTCTACAAGCTCAGAGACAGACTCCCTCCGTTCTTAGCTGCATGTCCGTGTGAGAACTTCACGTTTTACAGTTGAGGAAATGGAAACAAGGATAAGTAGCTTGCCCAAGGTTACACAATTAGATCTGAGAGCTGGGAGCAGTTCATAAAGATCTTGAAGACAAAACAAAAGAATAAAATTAGCCAGAAAATAAAGCAAAGGGTCAAGGGCAGAACCCAGGGAAATTCCGGTATCTCAGGAGTCAGGCTGTAAAAGAGACTGGCTTGGATCCACCTAACAGGTTGGAGACCTCAGAGGACAGTGGTGTGTTCCTAGCCAGCACCTTCAGGTAAGGACAACACCTACCTTTTCCCAATGAGGAAATGGAACCTGGAATGGTGGCTCTGAGACTCCATGCAGTCCTAGAACGCTGTGGTCTTCCCACGACTCTGCCACTCCTTGGGATGGAGACGGCAGGTGGAAGACATGCCTAGGAGTTTTATGTTTGGGCTTCCGATAATTTGAAAGGGTGAGGAATGTGGGAGCCTGAGATTTGGTTACAAATTACAATCCAAATTATCGCTTTGTTTTAATTCTGGTTGTAAGTCTAATTTCCTCTCTATGAAATCTTTTACTGGAACATTTAATGAGTAAGCAAATTACTTGGTTTAAATTATAACTCTTCTGTCCTCCCGACCAAGAACAAGCTAAAACATATCTAGGAGGAGAGGTGGAAGATCTCAATTATCCTCGACATACTCATTGCTTTAGTGGTCCTGGGTGGGTTACTAACTTTGCTGGTCACCCTTATTGTTTTCCATAACTGTTAGGGTCACCTCAGTAAGTAGCTACCTGAATTAAAATTCAGCAAATCATGTCAATCCCTAGGGATCTCTTTTTTTCTCAGTGTACCAGGTAGCCAGTTATTTCTTTCCCTTTCAATGAGCTATGTCAACCCTGGAAGATACTATAATCTTGTTGTTGTTATCCTTATCCCGAGGACACTGCTGGGGCAACTCCTGCGGAACCCTGAGAGTCTTTAACCCCCAGTGTCCGGCTAGTCTTTGCCACATGTACCATTTTCGTAACACATATATCATACATGTCCTTTCCTTCCAAAGGAGAGAAAATGTACCTACATTTAAAAATCCCTTGCAAAAACCAACTTGAGCCTTTTATAAAATTTAGTACTTGCCTTATTTTTTGAAGGAATACTACATTTCTTCCTGCAGTTTCACATTTTTATTTCCCTCCTTTCTCCGGCAGTCCTTGCAATTGAACTCCCAATTTAGTCATCACAAAACCATCATAGCTATAAAACTTGCTGATGTAGCCTTTTGCATAACTTGTCAGCTTTTATATGTCTGTGTATGTGTTTGGCTGTCCCACTACAGTAAAGATCTAGGGAAATAGGGCTTGTGTCATTTTTATTCATCACTGCAAACCTTATTTATACTTCAAGTCTGATGCTCTTCTCACCACAGCATTCTGGTAGCAGAGGCAAGGAAGGGAGATCTGGCCAGCACACATGGTCCTAGAAAGGCAGAAGGAAGCTGAGATTTGTCCATTCTTGGATGCCGTACTCTTCTTGTGATTCCACAGCTCCTGGGGTTGGACACAGCAGGTAGAGGACATGCCTAGGATTTTTATTTTTATGTTTGGGAGAAGGCAACGTTAGGTAGCTGGCTTGAGGGATGGGACCAGGGCCTGTGAAGGAAGGATGGGCTGGGAACTAGAAGACGAAGTGCTGGGATGAAGGATAAGGAGGCTGTAAGTCAAGACAGGAGGTAAAGAAAGCCCTGCACAAGTGGGAAGACGGAGCAATGGGACCGGAGCTCAGGTAGACATCACACTGAGGGTGGGCTTAGGACTCATGTCGCTAAGTCAGGGGGTCTGGGAACAGATTTGCTTTTAGCCAGTTTTCAGACTCTTACTCCACAAGAGCTGCGTGCTCTCTTACACACTTTTCTTCTTTTTCTTCTGGAAGCTGACATTAAAACATCTAGAATGAATAGGAAAACACTAGTGAAATGAAGATGCTCAGAAGTTTAAAGGAACTCTGTTTATTCCTTCCAATAGCCAAAGGACGCAAATCTAGAATAAAGGTAGATCCCGCAGACTTAGAAATTAGACTTAAAAACTTACAATAAAAATTAAGCATAAACCTCTAGAGATTGTTAAAAGGGATAATGTTTAAAATGAATAGAAAGCTCTACATATAAAACAAAAAAGTAGGACCATAAGCAATCCAGTGAGAAACAAGTTAATAAAGGATAAAAATCAGAGTAGTCTGTATAACTATACGGAGAAGTCTTATTGGAGTTGCTTAGAAAAAGCTACACAAATAATGATATAAAATCACATACACATGTAAAGATGGCTTTAAATAGTTCTGAAGAAAATAGTTCTGCACCAAAATAAAAGAAAAGTTAGTTTCTAGAGTGAGGTAACACTTTCAAGAATATTTAAACAGAACAATAAGAGTTTTTTAAATCTCTATTTTCAGTGACAATCAGCATCACCAGCCCTGCTATTCAAGTATAATTTTCACAAAATAAAATTATAAGACCAGGAGAAAAATTTTCTTCATTTTAATTGTATAATAACTTGATCTTATTAATAGCATGTCCTTTTGTTGATAGTAACTTCATGCTCTACAGTGAGCTTTTATGTGCACTATTTTACTTAATATTTGATTAATTTTGCCCAAAACATTGTCACAAATTGGAAAATCTAAATTTTTTATTCTCTGTCCCGTTGGATATTTTAGTTCTTTATTGCATATATGACTGGTTTGACATCTCTACATCTAGTCCAATAGAAAATTTCTATAGCAAATTTAGTCTTTAATAAAGAAACAGTTACAGGCAATTGAAATGACAGGAACTTTCCCCCTTTCGATAGTTGTTTTAAGATAAGTGATACACTATGGTCACATGTTGCATAATAACATATCAACCCATGACAAAATGCACATGACCATTGTATGACAAATGTACATACCATATAGTCCAGGTGTGGACCCGGTTCCACCACCCAGCTTTGTCTGAGTACATTCTGTGATGTTGGCACCCCCACAAAAATCACAGAATAACACATTTCTCAGAACCATTTGGTGGTTGAGTGGCATGTGACTGACCATTTCCTCCACTGGCCATTTCCAGCTACATCTGGGAAGATCTATTTTATGTGCTCAGCCTCAGAATCATACCTTCTCGACTGGGTGTGGTGGTACATGCCTGTAATCCCAGCACTCGGATTACAGGCTGAGGCAGGAGGCAGGTGGCTGAGGCAGGAGGATCGTTGTGAGTT